GGCATCCAAGTACTTGAAGGCCTTTCCCACCTTGTCTGTCTGTAGGGGACACAGTCACTATTAGCCCAAGGCAGCCTGGTCAGTATAGTTTCTCACCCACAGCCTAGGTGGGACTTCACCCCATTGTCTGAGTTCAACCTTGCTGAGAAAGAAATGTGTGAATGAATGATTTAAAAGTGATAAGTAACAGTGCCTGATGGGCCAAGAAGATAGTTTTGATGCCTAGTATCAAAAGCAAAACAAACAAGAAAAGCCCCAGTGTGTGCAAGCACCTACCTACTGAACAAGCTCTCAAAACCTCAGCAGGACATAGCAATCCTGAATTAAGGCTACTCTCTCACCTCCCGAAGTCCACATGCACAGTCCTGTGATCAGGTGCAGTCACTTGTTACATAATTTCCCAAAGAACTAGACTATGCTGCACCTCCAGGGCAGTGCAAACACAAGTTCTCTTTCATACTGAGGTTTCTCTTGTGAGTAGAAAACATGCACTGTGGTTTCTGAGCATCATAGATAAAATAACTAACAGTCATTTTTTCATGCTTCTTAGGAGCCCAACAAATTAATCCCTTTTGGTGCCTTGGTCGGGTGTATAAGGCTACAAGCTCAGGCAACCAGGACAAAATTTTAATGTGCCCAAGGAACTTCAGAACAGTGCAATCAGATCCTGGTGGCCAGCCTAGCCTCAGTACTAATTCTGTCACTAATCCTCTTCCACCAAGTGGCACACAGTCAATCCAACGGGCCAGACGGGGGCTCATTCTTCCTCTTCAATGGCCTAAATCCCACGCATTAACGCTGCAAGTCTGGAGATCCTGCCAGTGCTCTCAAAGGGATCAAAGACAAAGAGGAGTGCGACACTGGGGACAGACGGTGGCCAGGCAGACGCTGATGCACCGTGGAGGACCTGGGTCAGGGCTGCCCATTCGTCTGGCAGAGTGGGAGACATGGAGCTACTGCCTAGGTGCACGCTGTGTCCATGTTGCCCCCAAAAGGGGACAAACTGCAGAGAGGCTGGCAACATGCACATGCCTGTGCATACATATATTCCAGAATACGTAACATTACTACTCTAGGATTTTACATTTTAGATATAACACAATTTTAAAGAATATTTTGTTGGGGGCTGGAGAGATGGCTCAGTGGTCTAAAGCACCTACTTGAAACAAGCTTGGCAAAGCACAGGGACCACAGTTCGATCCCCCAGCACCACATGC